TGAAAGCAATAAAGGATTGTCAGTCAGGAATCAGGCCGAAAATGAGAGTGATGGATAAAAAAAAAAGAGACATGATAACAAAAAGACACACAGGAAAAAAAAAAAAAGAGAGAGACACACACAGGGAACAGCAAGCCCAGATTATATGAAATAGAGCATGACTAGAAAAGTAGATCAGGCCTTCAAAGTCAAGTTAGAGGGGCTGGTGAGATGGCTCAGTGGTCTAAAGCTCCTACTTAGAACAAGTTTAGCAAAGCACAAGGACCACGGTTCAATCCCCAGCACCACATGCCAGCCAGCCCCACCCCCTGGTGGGCTGAGCTGGCCACACGCACACACATAAATAAATAAATAAATAAATAAGGGGCTGGTGAGATGGCTCAGTGGTCTAAAGCACCTACTTAGAACAAGCTAAGCTAAGCACAGGGACGGCAGTTCAATCCCCCAGCACCACATGCCAGCCAGCCCCGCCCCCTGGTGGGCTGAGCTGGCCACACACACACAAAATAAACAAACAAACAAACAAAATAAATAAATAAATAAAACAAAGTCAAGTTAGAGGTAAAGAGACACAAAGTAGAAGGCAATGAAACAAGCCCTGGCAGTTGCTGAGCTGCAGAACATGTTCAGAGTGGTGCATTAAAGGAACTTTTTAGGGCTGGCCAGGTAGCTCAGTGGATTAAAGTGCCTGCTTAGGCAGATGCAGGGACTGGGGGCTGATCCCTGATGTGCCATACTAGCCCCAGAGCACGTTGAGACAGCAAATGAGACTGTCCCAGCGCTTGGGAGGCTGAGAACAGGAGAGTACTAGGAGTCTGATCTGTGTAGTGAGACCCTGCATTTCTTGCACTAAATACATTTTTTTTTTTTTGGTGGAACCAGGGATTGAACTCAGGCCCTTGCGCTTGCCGGGGAAACACTTATCCACTGAGCCATCTCCCCAGCCCCGCTAAATATATTTTTTTAAAAAAGGAACTTTTCACAACTTCCTTATTCTGTAATGACCAAACAACTATGCCTTTTTGACATTTTTTCAAAATGGTAAGAAAATAATACCACGAAAACAGGGAACCCATTTCTTATCTCACCTGAGGTAATGCAGGTCTGAAATCTCTTTCATACAAAGCCAGCAGAATTCACAGCCACACACTGCACAGGTCATGTGATTACAGCTTCCATCATTCATCTTGATAATGTAAGCACTGCACCGTGGGCATGGCTTGATGTCATCTGCTAAGAGGGGAAGGAAGAACAGAAAAACACACCCCCAGTTATACCTAGTTTGCTTAAGAGCACATAAGGTAATGAGGAAATCAGGAACTCTTGACTGAGGATTTCATACTTTAACTTTTTTTTTTTTTTTTTTTTTTTTTTTTTTTGTGGAACCAGGGATTGAACTCAGACCCTTGCACTTGCCAGGCAAGCACTTATTCTACTAAGCCATCTCCCCGGCCCCTGCAATACACTATAAAAAGGTCAGTTTAGTAGGATTAGTCATAT